AAAGACCGTCCTTCCTAATCTATGACACATGGACAAGAAGTTCAGATTTATGCCCAGCAACAACCAGTTAAGACATTGGTGGTTTCTGATGTTACGATCTGGTAGCTGACACCCATGAGTAGACCTGTTAGTTTTAAGTATGGTTTTTAAAACAGTCTTAATTATTTATTTATTTATTGAGGAAGATTAGCCCTGAGCTAACATCTGCTGCCAATCCTCCTCTTTTTGCTGAGGAAGACTGGCCCTGAGCTAACATCCATGCCCATCTTCCTCTACTTTATATGTGGGATGCCTACCACAGCATGGCTTTTGCCAAGCGGTGCCATGTCTGCACCCGGGATCCGAACCGGTGAACCACAGGCCACCGAGAAGCGGAACGTGTGAACTTAACTGCTGCGCCACCGGGCGGGCCCCTCTTAATTTTTTAAAAATTCACTCACACATACTCCACCTGAGGGTTCCTATGAATAGGCAAAGAGCCGGATTTGTTGTTAATGATTCTTAGGCAGTAATTCTCAAAAAGTACAAAGGCGGAGGTGGGCCTGAGTATCAGAATTGGGGAGGGAGGCATTATATTCACAACACAGATGACACAGAGTCAAGTCCAGCAGCCTTGGCTGTTGGGGCAGGCACTGAAAAGGTTCAGAAGCTCTGGCCAGGCCTGGCCACAAGCTGAATGAAGAGAGGGGGACATTAGCACCCGCAGGCAATGGTTTATCACCCTCACACCACCTCCATGAGCATCTCCTCATGCAACTCATCTTTCCCTTTCCCCATCTCCATCCCCAAGGCTCTACCCTACTGTGGACCACATCTTTCCTGACCTCCTGCTGCCCTTCCCCCAGTACCCTCCCAGTGCCTGGCTGAACCACGCTGCCTCTCCTGCAGACTGACTGTTGGGGACCCTCCTTGTACCAGGTAAAAACTACCAACTGAGGCTAGCCCGAAATCACGAGTTCTCGCACCATCCCATTTGAGAACTTACCTTTCCAAGGACTCTTCAGGAGGTGGTGAAGCCTGATTTAATATGCCTCATTATGCTCCCTTCGCAATTTTGCCATACACAAGACTCAAGAATTTTACTCATATATTTATTTGTATCATTATATTATCATTATTAAAATTATTGAAATATTTATTTTAAAAGGAAACTTTATATCAGCACCTTAAATGGAAAACAAGCAGGACAGCCAGGCGTAGAAGGTAACTCAGTGTCACATGCAATGGGAACGAAGCCACATTACATGAGATTGTGTCTGGGCACTATTTCAGCCCAGGGCTCTGAGCCAGGCTTCTGGTCCCTCTGCTGTTTAAAGGGGGAGATGAGCAGGCTAGACACTCTCTCCCCAGGCCAAGCCCCTCTTGCGTGGAATCAGGAGGACCGAGAGAAGGTTGCAAGGAGTCACTGTCTCCGCCGTATGAGTCAACACCGTTCAGGCTGTGACCCTTTACAATCGAAAATCCTGTCCTCTTCCCAAGAGACACACACGTCTCATCCATTAGGAAACAACGTAGATATGAGCACAGAGTCCGAGACTCAGTGACTGCCACTGCTCTCCATTAGCTCTGTGACCCTGGCGAGTCCTTGCAATTGCTATGCCTCCCTTGTCCCTTCTGTCCAAGGGCAATAACAGCCCCTACTTCAGAGGAGCGTTGCAAGGATTAAATGAGATACTACACGCAAAGTTCTTAACACAGCTCCCATCACGGAGTTGGCCCTGTGTCACTCCCTCTCCCCAACATTCTTGTCACTGAGCTCACAGAGACATCATTTGTGCCTCAACTGAGAGCTTCATGATAAACAGCCTTGCTCTCAAGGATGAGATCAAAGACTCCAGGTAACCAAGGCAAGAGGGACTCTAGGATGCTGGCCTCCCCTTCTTTTTTTGAAGAAGATTAGCCCTGAGCTAACTACTACCAATCCTCCTCTTTTTGCTGAGGAAGAGTGGCCCTGAGCTAACAGCCATGCCCATCTTCCTCTACTTTATACGTGGGCCGCCTACCACAGCATGGCTTTTGCCAAGCGGTGCCATGTCCGCACCTGGGACCCGAACCAGCAAACCCCGGGCCACCAAGAAGCGGAACGTGTGAACTTAATTGCTGCACCACCAGGCCGGCCCCTAGGCCTCCCCTTCTGAATCGTCTTTGGCTGGAGCTGAGCCGCGTGGTAAACGTTTTCTAAGTGGGGATGGAATGCTCACAAGAACAAGGTCTCTGGAACACGCAGACTCCCCCAGTTTTCTTCTTGAGAGAAGAGGAGGACTTAACAACGTTAATGAAACTTAAGTATGATGGCCCCTCACTCGCTTGAGTCCCTCTGAGTGGCAGCAGGTTCTGGGAGTTCTAGAATGTTCTAGTGGGGAGAAGAAGATGGGTTGCAATTGGGAAGCATCTCTCTGTAAGCATTCCTGATAAAATTCTTTTTTTTAAATGATTTTGTATTCTTACTCTTAAAGAGGGACCCCCAGAATTCTGTAAGCTTGAGGACACATAAAACCTGGGTTTGACCCGAACGAGGGGTCTCTAGAGGGACGTGGATGTGCTCCCCAGAGGAAGCTGGCCCAGGGGAGGGGCAAGACCATGAGCTAACCAGATTCTAGGTACAGCTCCTGCCACAGGCAAGCGGGCTGAGCGTGGGCATGTCCCTTTATCTCTCTGGACCATCAGTGAAGACGGTGGGTGGGCTGGCTTCTCTAAGGGCCTTACAACTTTAGTTAGAGTCACTCTTGTCTGCCCTGGCAGACCCTGGAGCCAGGGGTACTGGAAGCAGAGGGACCACAAAGTGCAGGGCCTCTCCCATCACTATGAACCCAGAGGAGGGTGGCAGCTTCTCCCATCCCACCCCACTAAACGAGCTATCTCCCCCTGCCAAGGCAGCCCTGTGAGGTTTCTGCACATGCAATTTCCACAGCACCAACTCCAAACCAGCAAATAATATGATAGCTGTTGATAACTGCCCTGTACATCATCCATCAGAAGATGAATATAAAAGTGCACCTTTGTAACAGGAAGTATATGGATGAAGGTTGCCGATGTCCACCATGATGCCCCTGCGGAACTTCTAGAAACACAATATCTCAGCTGAACAAGCCCAAGGTCAATTTAGGTAGGTGACCTAAGAAAACTCCATATGAAATAGGTGTTGTTGATACTGAAGCTTGCATACATTAGTTCATTAGTCTGGAACTTAACGCAAAAAAAAAAATTGTTCCTTTAGATAAATAGATAAATCCCAGTATAGCTGGAAGGATGCTTTTGGATATAAGTGACAGAAAACTCGTATCAAGCCAGCCTAAGCACCAAGGGAATTTATTGGTTCTTATAATGAAAGGTAAAAGTAGTGTGGACTTCAGGGATGGTTTGATCCAGACCTTCAAAATGCCATAAGGACTCCATTGCTTTTCTCTCAAATGTGTTTTCTCTGCCCTTTTTAATATGTTTCTGTCTTAGTTTGGGTGCCCTGAGACCAGAATTCTAGAGCAAATGGTTTATTTCGGTGGTGATTCCAGGAAACCCTAGTAGGAGAGGGGGGAAGTGAGACAGAAAAGGGCAGGCAGCTACCATAGGGTGTGTTATCAAGCAAGTGATCACCAAGGGCAACTGTAGCTTCATCCCACTGGAGAACTCTGGGGGACAGTGCAGAGCAGGCACTTCAAGTCATCCTGCTCCAGCGGCAAGGCAGTAGGGTCTGTATCCACCTATTCCTGTCAGCAGTTGCCATGGGCTGAATGTTTGTGTTGTCGCCCCCACTGCCCACATTGAAATCCTAATGTGAAGGTAATAGGAGATGGGGCCTTTGAAATGTAATTAGGTCATGAGGGTGGAGCCCTCACGAATAGGATTTGTGCCTTTATTAAAGGAACCCCAGAGAGCTCTCCAGCTCTCTTCCCACTATGTGAGGACAACACAAGAAGTCAGCAGTCCGTAACCCAGAAGAGGACCTCGCCAGACCCTGACCAGTGACACCCTGATCTTGGACTCGCAGCTCCAGAACTGGGAGAAATACATTTCTGTTGTTTATAGGTCACCCTGCCTACAGCAATTTGTTAGAGCAGCCCGAACGGACCGAGACAGGAGTCATTGGTGGAGGGTGGGTCACCCTCACAGTAGCAAAATTTCCACCGTAGTCAAAGGCCTCGCAGTCACCTCTCCCCTCCCCAGAGGAAGGAGACACCTCTGTCCCAGCATGCCAGCCCAGCCTGAGGGTCACTCTGATGCACTGACAGCGCTGACACACCCAGCCCTGAGCCGGTCTTGGGGCCAGGATGGAATGTGCCCATTTGCCTAGCCTCGGGGGCGCTGTCTCCGCCACACTGCGTGGATCTCAGAGAGCAGGGACTTTGGGGAGGGGGAGACGGAGGAGGCCGGCATCTGCTGCACGGTAATGACGTAATGGTCTGGACTGACTAGCAAACACTAGATCATTAAACACAAAGGCACCAGAGGTCTCCTACAGGGGTCACAAACTAAAGCGCCAGCAATAACGTCAATGGTTGAAGCAGGCCAGCGGGAGGCTGCTGAGTTCTGAGGGGGCACGCCTGGCCGGAGCAACAGATCCTGCTCTCAGCCTTGGGCAAGGGCTGCCACGAGAGAATGTGGCAGAGTGTCTGATATTTCAAGAGTAGCCAGAAATCTGGATCTTTACACGAAATCTCCCCATCTGAAACGTTGGAAACAAATTAAAAGTGTTTTGGATGCTACATGGGCCAAATAACACACATCTGTGGGCCAGATGCAACCTGGGGGTGCCAGTTTGCAACCTCTGATGCAGATCCACCCCATAATCTTCCAAAAGGGGAAACTGAACTGTTCCAGAGACGGTCAGTAACTTACCCAAAGTCACGCAGCTGGTCAATGGCAGAGCTGGGACTGGAACCCCGCTTCCCCATTGTCATCTGTTATATTTTCTGATCTGTTGTGCTCAGAAAGATACACTCAGTGCCCAAACTGGAGACGGCAAACCACAGCCCGCGGGCCAAATAAGTCCGGCTGTCTGTTTCTGTAAATAAAGTTTTATTGAAACACAGCCACGTGCATGTGTTTACATTTTGTCTGGGGCTGCTTTCCCGATACAGGGGCCGAACTGAGCTATTGAGCCAGAAACCACATGGCCCACAACGCAGAAAAGATTTCGTATCTGATCTTTTACCAAAACAGTTCGTCCATCCCTGTTCTAGACCCTTGACATACGCAGATGTCATATTTCTTGTTTTAGCTATTCATGAGCTATCCCAATGGTCTGAGTAGAATTATTCAGGAGCACCTCTGAATCCTACCCGCGGGGCAGCAGGTCTGGGGGTGCAGATCCCCGGGGAGGATGGTGAGTCAGCCCAGCGGCTGGAGCTCATCTCATGCTGTGTGAGTTAGTCCCGCGAGATGACGCAAAAGCACCGCCAGCATCACCCCCAGCACCACCAACTCCTCTTCCTTGGTGGGAAATAGCCCTGAAAGGAAAAAAGAGTTAAACGGAATTAAGAAGCCTAAGAATGTGAAGGTGCTTACAAGTAAACAGAAATTTCAGATAAATGGTAGAATGTTGGTGATAGCAGTGGACAGGATACACACACACACACACACCCTCCTTGGAAACAAGAAAATGTGATTTGTGGAGTCACTTCAGACGGAGCCCCATACAGTGCAAAAATCGCACATCCAATGAATGAGACGGCATGAAAGCGGATGGAAGGGTCGCTAACCCGCCTGAGACTCAGCGAGGACCCCCGTCGCTTGCAGGAAACACGATCTCAGGAATATCTAAGGGCTTCTGTCAGAGGAGCCCCGTCCCCTGGCTTCACGCTTACACCCGCGCGATGTCACGGCCTCTCTCCCCACAGCATCTTCTCGCCGCTCCCCACGAGCCGGGATTGCAGATCTGAGGAGGGAGATTGGCAGGAGGAACTGGGCATGCTCAGCTCCGCCCTCTTGGGCTCACCTTGCCACAGGGCGGCAGCGCCCGTGCGTTCGCATCTCTTCTCTGCCACATGAAAGGTTCTCTCGCCAGGCGGGTGGGGGCTCACAGCTCCGCTGCAGCCGGGATGGGTAGGACTGTCTAACTCAGGGATGAACTATTAGGAAGACCGCTGTGCTGTGTGCCTAAGCCCCTCCTTTTAATCCAGCTTTTATCACTAATTATCTCCAACTCTCTGAAGGAGCCAAGCTAGCTGACCTTGACCTTGGACTTCTAGCCTCTAGAACTGTGAGAAAATAAATTTCTGTTGTTTAAGCCACCCCGTCTGTGGCACATTGTTACAGCAGTCCTAGCCAACGAACACAGGCGTAGATCTAAAAATGGAATCGCTGGGTCATAGAGTATACGGATGATTAGCTCTGGTAAATGCTGCTGAACCACACACAAGTCACATCTAAAAATCAGGAAAAATTACACACACTTTATATTTTCAATTTTGTGTGCATTTAGTTATAAATACAGATATTTCCAGATAGAAATAAAGACAAATATAAATATACGATAGAAGGAAATTGATCAGAACGTTAACTGTTGATTGTCTTCTTCCCGTCTATTTTTTTTTTTTTTAATAATGAACCTGGCTTATTCGGTAGTATAGAAATGTAATAGTTATTACAATTTTAATAGTGGTCATTCTGGGCAAAAGGATTATCAGTGACTTGTATTTTATATTAGACTAGGTTTTGTGTTTTCCGATTTTTCTACAATAGACATAATGACTTTTACAATCAGAGGAAGGAAATGTTCCCAGTAATGAAAGGAGAAAAGCCTGGAAGGAAATATAGAAACGTGCTCTTGGTGTTGATCTCTGAGTAGTCACACCACGGAAACTGACAAATGCTACAGACCAAGCCCTGATTTATAGTTCTCTTGATCATCTAGACTCAAGGAAGCAATGGGAAAAATGTTCATAATGCAGGTTAAAGTTAATGAGTGTCATTTCTGTAACCAATACAATGTGAATAGCACAAAAAATTGAGATTTAGAATTCTTGTTGCCTCTTTATTTTAATTATCTACATTTTCGACCTAATATAGTGACCATATTTACTATTATAATGAGAGTTGGGGGAGGAAAGGTTCTTCTAAAAAATTAGGAAGAAATAAACTACGAAGCTGTAAGTTCTAGAAAGAGTGGCAATATCATATTTCAATAGTGGTCGACATACAATAACAATTGTATGTCACACTATTATTTTATGTACCAGTAAGAAGGAAAACACTTCCCATTGAAGCATGATCCTTCATCAGTTGTAAGATGCATATGGATTTCACGGATGTTCGAATGTGAAAAAAAAATGCATCTTAGAACTGATGACATTCAGTGGGTAGCACCGTGCACACTGTGAAAGAAGTGAAGTGGTTTAAAAGTCATGGGTCCTGTGCAGCCCTCATGACCATGGCAAGGGAAGGCGAAAGCAGCGCCCAAGTGGGAGACTGTTGCCTGAAGAGCTGGGATCCTAGCTCTGTCCCCCACTCCCTGGTGGCCAAGCAGGGAAGGAGCCGCCCACTCGCTGCGTGACTCCCGCTCTAGAGGACGCCCACTGACTGGGCAGGAACTGTGACGTTTAATTGGCCAATGTCTGAAGAACACTTTGAAGATGAAAAGTACCAGGTGGGTATCATCACCATACACTTCTTAAGATGATACATGGAATAATAATCAAGTTCTCCCCACTGGGCCTTTCATCGTGGATTTCAAAGCACTTAGTGAACTTTAATTAACTCTCCCAACACCTCTGTGAAGTTGGCATTAATGGCCTCTTGCCTTAGATGGAGACACAGAGGAAGGTAAGTGACTTGCCCAGGCCCTCAGAGTCAAGACAAGTCGTTCTGGAAGCATTCATTCCTTAGGCAATAATGTGTTTAGTGCCTTCTTTGTGCCAGCCGCTAGGGCCACCGCAGCTAAAGCTGGCCAGTACCAGCTCGCAAGCGCCTGTTAAATTTTGGGGAATTTTGCAAACCAGTTGTGAAACAAAGCTATTCTTTAAGATTAAGTTATATAAATTTATAATTAACTAGAGGATATTGAAAACAAAGGTAATAAAAACTCAAACACATCACTCAATTATTTTACCGCATTTGACTATCTGTGCTCTTGAGGTCATTTCCATATGTAGTATGCACAAGGTGGAAATATATATAATGACGTGCTTCCCTCCCGACTCGCTGTTCAGGGATGCTCACAGTGACCGTCTGAAATCAGCCACAGAGGGGGATTCGCACCACGGAGATTGACAAATGCTCCGGACCAAGGCTTGATTGATTGTTCTCTTCACTGTCTAGACTTGAGGAAGTGATGGAGGGAATGTTAATAACGCGGGTTAAAGTTGACAGTGTGTCGTTTCTGTAGCCATTACGTTGTGAATAGCACACACGAAAAATGGAGGAGCTACGGTTCCAGCATTCAAAAACGACTACCCAATTCAGCCAAGAAGTCACTCACATCACTGACAAGTAAGTGAAATTCCTACAAACATCTTCATTGTGTAACTTTCATCTTACTTGATACATAAGTGAAAAAAATCTCAGTCAACTTTCAGGTCAGAACTATTCTTTCTTCAGCTGCAACCAACGGTTGGCTACAGATCTATGAGTTTGACAAAAATCTATGAGAGCTTTCTGTGAGAATCAACTGGCTATATGGAATGTATAATAAAAAGAATTTATATTTTATTTGTAAATTGTACGCTACTTATCCTTTATATCAGCATAATGTATTTTGCTGTTTTACAAAAATGCTGTTTTACAAAACAATGTTTTACAAAAACATTTTGTAAAATTTACAAAGTGAGATGGTTGAATAGTAATTATAAGACTACTGCCTCTTTCCAGTCTGACTTGCCCTCCATTTCACTGCTCCTCACGTCCACTAGCGTTGGAGTGGCCTTGACATTCTGGGGATCCAGCCAAGAATTTGAACTGGGGATACGTTTGGTTTGGGTTCCACGGGATGTCTTCACATAGTTCAAAATCACCTCCACATCCAGCGAGATCAACATTAGACGTGATAGTGGAGTAATGGCCTCCAGGAAGAAACCTACCAACTACAGTGCCAGTCCACCTGGCGCGATGAGCACCAAAAGTTGTAGATAATGGAGAAGTAAGCTTAGAAATGTATGGAGCCAGAGGCCAGTCTATGGAAAATTCTTCTAATTAGCAGATGTGTAAAATTTAAATGGAAGCTCTGATTCTCATCAATGTCTGGTCAAAACAGAAGTCCTCTCTCCTCCTGATGGAGATAATCCAATGATGTAGCCTATACAGTTATAGATGCACATGCATGTGCACTTGTTTTATTTATTTATTTATTTATTTATTTATATTTATTTATTTTCCAAGGAAGATTCCCCCTGAGCTAACATCTATTGCCAATCTTCTTTTTTTTTTTTTGCTTGAGGAAGATTCAGCCTGAGCTAACATCTGTGCCAATCTTCCTCTACTTTATATGTGGGTTGTCACCACAGCATGGCTGATGAGTGGCGTAGGTCCATGCCCGGGATCCAAATCCACAAACCCGAGCTGCCGAAGTGGAATGCACCAAATTTAACCACTGTGCCAGGGGGCCGGCCTCTGTTTTATTTTTTGTTGGAAATTGTGTGAAATAGGATGTATGAGAATCCTGTGTTTGTAGGGCATGAACCTGTAGCAGTACCACAAATAGCAAGCATATGAAGTTACATGTGCGATGTATTCCAACATTAAATAATAATCACATTTCAATCAACCTGCTAAAGGGAAAGATTTCCTTCTCTCTCTAATTTCCCTATAGAAAATGACATTACAAAATCATTGTCATATGAAGAGGCAGTCGGAGCATACAATCAAAGAAAACACTATAGGGGTAGGTCAGGAGTTAATTCAACAATTTGTAGCATTTGCTAGCTTTTAAAAGTTTATAATTTTTTGTGATTTACTTAATCCTTCTAAATAAATATTCAATTTTATAGCTAATTTTATGTTCATAATTTGGATTTTTTTTCTTGAAGCTCTCCCCAAACTTGTACAAATTTCAGGCACCATGAAACCTAGGAGAGCCTCCTGCTGGGGTAAACAGAGGGATGCTTTGTGAGTGCGGAGGAGGGGTGGCTATCTCAGGGAAAGCATCGTGGGGAGATGCTGCCTGTCCCACCTGGAAACATTAAGCATGAGTGGGGATTAAACAGGCAAAGAGGAAAATGAAACAACAGAGATTTTTGACCTGTCTCTCCTCTGCACTCTTTCACCTCCACTTCCTCTGTTCCTCCAACTCTCCCTGGAGGATGGGTAGGCAGAGAACCCGGTCCTGCCTTCTCCCTCCAACCGCAGACTGTTAATTCCCAAGAGGGATGGTCAGTGAGCCTGCCGGCTTCAAAGAATACAGGGCCAGTCAGGGAGAAAGGGCAAGTCTTGATTCACTCGGCCGGGCTGTGAGACGCTGGGACGTGCCCCACTGTGAAAACATCCCCTGGCCTGGAAACAGCAGAATGACAGCCCCTCCCCGACCCTACCTCCCATTCCCCACCCAAATCTCAGACTGGGCCCCAGGTTTACTGTGATCCACCATTAGGAAAGCAGTATACTGTTGAAGGATGGCAGCCCTTCAGGACAGGGCAACGGAAGTGTGAAAAGAGCATCACGATTTTAAAAAGATCATCATGATTAAAATATCTATATATGTAGGGGCCAGCCCGGTGGTGCAGTGGTTGTTTGTGCACTTGGCTTTGGTATCCCGGGGTTCACCGGTTCAGATCCCAGGTGTGGACCTATGCACCCCTTGACAAGCCATGCTGTGGCAGGCGTCCCATCTATAAAGTAGAGGAAGATGGGCATGGATGTTAGCTCAGGGCCAGCCTTCCTCAGCAAAAAGAGGAGGATTGGTGGCGGATGTTAGCTCAGGACTAATCTTCCTCACCAAAAAAAAAAAAAAAAAAGTCTATATGTATATATATGTGTGAGATATATATATATATATATATATATATATATATACACATAATGTACATATACACATATGTTTTGTAAAACAGATTCCAGATAGATTCCAAGGGGCAAAGGTTGAACACAACCCCACACCCTAGCAATCTCAGCCGAGGCCTGACCTCACCCAAGACTTCCCTCCAAAGACTTCCAGAGAACTTTGAGTCTTCAAAGTGAAGGAGTGGGTTTTAAACTTTTCCATGAGAA